AGCCCGACACAGGGCTAGAGCCCAGGACCCTGAGATCAGGACCTGGGCCAAAATCAAGAGTCAGTCGCTTAACCAACTGAGCCACCCAGGCATCCCTGTATTAGGCACTATTTAGTCAATAGTTATGGTGGAGAACAAGATAGACCTGCTCTCTTGTAGCCCATATTTTAGTGCTAGACAAAGACAGAGAATGAATCAAAAAAAGAAAAAATATATATGTAATACAGTATTAGGTAGTGGTAAGGACCACAGAGGAAAGCAAATTAGGGTAAGAAGATAAGCCAGGTAAGAGGAGAGAAAGTGATAGGCATGGTGGGTGTTTACTTAACTGGGAGGTCAGGGAAGGTCTCTCGGAGGAAACAATGTATGTCACCAAGCCCCAACCACAGAGTTCACTTACAGTATTTAGCATTTTACACTTAATTGTTGATGGGCAGAAATCAAAACAAACAAAAATAAACTCAGAAAACATCATGGACAATGTAGAAATCAGAAGAAAACATTTTAAACAATTTACCTATAATCAATACCTACTGTAAAATGAGAAAGCATCATTTCAAAAATTTTTGAAAACTTAAACGAAGTGGGACAAATTTTTAGAAAAATACAACCCACCAGAACTGACTTAAGAAGAAATAAGAAGCATGTACAATCTTAACACCATCTAAAAACCGGAAACAGTTAAAGCAAACACACAAAGTAAATACCAGGCATGAGAGTTATACAGGTGAGAAATAGCATATTCTAATATTATGCAGACTTTTCTTAGACATTATGTAATAATGTAACCAACTAATTTTTTAAAATTTTATTTTATTATGTGATGTTAATCACCATACATTACATCATTAGTTTTTGATGCAGTGTTCCAAGATTCATTGTTTGCGTATAACACCCAGTGCCCCGTGCAGTACGTGCCCTCTTTAATACCCATCACCAGGCTAACCTGTCCCCCCACCCCCCTCCCCTCTAGAACCCTCAGTTTGTTTCTCAGAGTCCATAGTCTCTCATGGTTCGTCTCCCCCTCCGACTTCCCCCTCTTCATTTTTCCCTTCCTACTATCTTCTTTTTTTTTCTTTTTAACATATAATGTATTATTCGTAGCCAACTAATTTTTAAGCCAGCATTGCCCTGATACAAAAACAAGAAAAAAATACCATAAGAAAAGAATACAGCAGACCCATGTCACTCATGAATATAAGTGTACTAATCCTAAACAAAATATAAATAAAATTCAATAGTGTCTGAAAAAAATTCAACCAATTTTGCTTTATACTAGGTATGCAAGGATTGTTCAATATTTTAAAAATCTATACATGTAATTCAGTAAGAGATTAACAGAGGTAATCCTATAATGATCTCAACAGATGCAGAAAAAGCATGTAATAGTTATATATCTAGTCATGATAAAAATTCTTTACAAATTATGAATATAAGGGAATATAATTAACTCATAAAGAGAGACGTTAAAGAAAACCTAAAATTAACATCATCCTCAATGAGGAAACACTAGAAGTATTCATTTAATATGAGAAATGAGCTAAAGATTCCAACTACTACCATTTTTAATCCTTATTAGGGCCCTACCCATGCAAGAAAAGAAAAAAAAACCCAGAGGCGTGAGGATTGGAAAGCAATAAATAAAGCTGCTGTTTTTCAGATGATAGTATTTAAAAAATCCCAAAGAATCTACAGACAACTTTATTAGAAGTAATAGGAGGGCAGACAAATAGTAGGAACAATATAACGAAGTGGATGTATTTAAGGCTAGTATAAAAACTAAGCTGCATTTCTGCTCACCAGCAGCAAAACAACAAGAATGCATTATCAAAGAGAACTTAAAATAATATCAGAACGCCAAGTATCTAGAAATAAATACAACAAAGGACGTACAATATCTGTAAATGAGAAATTACGAACCTTACTAAGAGATACTCAATAAGATCTAAATAAAGGAGACAAAGGCCATGTTGATGGGTAGGGAGATACAATATTGTGAAAAGGCATTCTTCCCTGAGTTGATCTATAGATTCAATACAATTTTAGTCAAAATCCCAAGAGAGTATTTTGCAGCACTTGATTAGATGATTTAAAGTTGATATGGAAGAATACAAAAGCAAGAACAGGAGGCACACTTCTGAAGAAAAAGAGGGGAGGGACTTGCGTGCCTGTCCAGGTATCAGGACTTATTTTGAGGCTACAGTAATTCAGACTATATGGTATTGGTGCAGGGATAGAAACACTAACCAACGAAACAGAATGTATTCTCATTAATGTAGAGTTTATACAAAAGTGGTCTGTCAGATCAGTGAGTAAAAGAGGGATCGTCTAATAAACAGGATGGAAAAAATGGTCATGTGAATGGAAAAAGATGAAATCAGACATCTCCTCCATAACCATGTCAAGAAACCAACTCCTGATTGATTACAGACTTTAAAAAATCACTTTCAACTCTTGGTAGGAAATCTAGGTTAATGTCTTTTGGACCCTGGAGAAGACTTTTTGTACAAGACACAGAAAACATGGACTATGAAAATTTGATAAAAAGAACTCTGGTCATAAAAGACACAGTGAGGGAGTGAAAAGACAGGCTACAACCTGGGAAGAGATACTTGCAATACATACAACATATTAAGGATGAGTATCATGACAAAAGAATGTTGATAAAACAATTTTAAAAAGCATAAAGAATACGACAGAAATTTGGATGTAAGACCCAAATTGACATTTCACAGAAGGGGAAGCAAAGATGCCTAATAAACACAATGAAATACTATTTAATACCCACTGAATTAACACAAAGGTAAAAGGGATCAGCAATATAGTGTGAGAAAGACTTATGGATCCACAGGATCTCTGCAACCTTGCTGGTAACACTGTAACTTGCCGCAACCACCCTGGAGAACACTTCTGGCGTTATCTTCTGACTGTGAACATTCATGTATTTTCCTAGTAATTCTGTTCCTAGGTGTGCACCAAAGAGAAGCTCTTGCACGTGGGCAGCAGGAGACATGTTCAAGAGTGTTTATAAGCAGTGCTGTTTACAAGAGCAAAACCCCCGAAACAACTCAGTGCCTATAGTCAGAAGAGTGGCTGAATGAAGTGTGATATACTCACAGGGCGGAAGGGAATACAGCAGTCAGAACCATGGACTGGCAAAGGGAAAAAAATGGGGCAGTTCTCATTTCAAGACAGTGATGCTTCTCAAGTAATCACAGCTTACTACATGGTTCAGTGTAAATAATCGATGATCTTAATAATGTAAACAATGAACCGTTGTTTGACCCCAGATTATGAAGTAATTATAAAGGGAGAATACGGGGAGTTATATTGACATGTCTGTGGGAAGGCTGCAGAAGATGTGAATCGTCATTTTCTATAGTTGGTGGTCAGCAGGTGGTTATTTAAAATAAAGACTAAGAAAACAGGCATTTTACTTAGAGATATATAAGAGATATATAGGTAAATTACCTTTTATTAAAAAGGCGTTAAAAGTTAAAAGTTATTGTTTCTGGAGAGTGGGACAAGATAGAGACAGATGGGACAGGGGACTGTAACTCTTATTTTGTGTTGTTATTATACATCTTGTAGTTATTGTTAATGCCATTTTCAGAGCCTTATATGCACGTATGTGTGTATGTGTGTGTGTAACTTTTGATTTTAAAAACAAAACCTCCCATTTGGGCCAGATGAATGTGACTTTGCTGAGCAGAGAGATGGGGCTTCTAGAAGAAAATTTTTGGGGCTTTGGAATATTAGAGAAAAGCAGTAGAGATCTATATGGTCAAATCTCATTTTACAAAAAACAAAGAAACTGAGGCATGGTACAATGAAATTGTTAAAGTCTCAAAATCAGAAACTGACTAGGACTAATCCTCAGTCTCCCGGTCCCTGGGCCAGAGCTCCTCCTGCCACATCCTACAGGGAGGGGAAGGAGGTGCTTTCCAGCAAAGGGAAGGCTGGCCTTCCAGCTCTGGAATGACACGTGAGAAAAGTGAGGGAATTCTAGGAGACCCAACTAGCACCCAGCCGAGGATGAGATGCCGTGATTCTGCAACTCCTGTCTCCACGTATGAACCTGCAGCGGTGACTCCTACATGTGCACATATGAGAGCGTGTGTGTGCTTTCTGATTTTTGCTGATTCAGATGAGTCTCTGAGGATGAGACTGAAATACAAGGTTTACTGAAAGCCAGACAGAATAGATTTAAATAGACGTTAAAGCGTCTAATTCTGGGCATCATAGGAAGGAGAGAGTGGAAATCTGTCGGTTGAATAAATGCATGAACACTATCATGTGTCTTCCACACCTGGCTTAACATGGTAAATACAGCCAGTATTTATACAGGGAGTGATTCATATGCATATTAAAGTTTGGGAAGCTCTAGTCTACAGCCCTGTTTTCTAGGTAAAATTATAATTTTAATGTTTTAACTGGAATTAAAAGCTATGCAAATGACCATTGGTATCCTGAAATAAATTATAATAAATGAGCAATGATATCCTGAAATAAATTAAGATTAAGGAAAAATGCCTGGAGGACAGGTTAAGTGTACTGTAATAAACATCGAATGATCAAAGTGGGAATTGTATTTTTCAGTTACCAGTATTCATTGCAATCAAATGCATCGGGGGCTGGGGGGGGATGCTGGATGCTTTGGGACTGCTTAATGGGAATTCTGGTGGTCTGCCACACTTCTCTGAGCATCAGTTGGCTCGATTGAGAGTGTGGCTTGGTTTCCCCATCAAAGTGCAAAATCAGAATTGTGCTTAGGAAAAAAAAATGAAATATAGAAATATGACCTCAAGTGGCTAGGCGAAAACTAAAAAGCAAAAAACAAACCCAACAGGTGGGGAGGGGGCTGTCTAGAATCCAAATAAAGTGGTAGTATTATGGGGAAAAATACTCAAGGGTTTAAAAGATATCTTTTATTAAACGTATAGTCAGATGACAAAATCCATTAGGGACATATCAGAAAATCAACTCAAAAGAACACTCACCGAGAGGAAAGGCTTGGCTTCCCACTTTTGCTACAGCTGGTATAAATTCCTGGGCCATCATCAAAGAAACTTCCAAGTGCCAACTTCTGTCGGATAGATTCTCTCTCATTTTTCTGTGCCTAAAATTTCAGGAAAATAAAAAATGCTGATAAGCGGGCAGATACATCACAGCCATAGCCTAACTGCTAAGTTTCTTAGAACTGCAACCTCAGAGGAAACACCAATAGACCACAGCACAAGAACATGTGAATTATGAAGAGCTCAAATTCACCCAATCATTCCTGGTTTCACCTCCGCAAGCAATTTCAGTTCTTCAGAGCCTTTCACGATCACGGGTCTAGGAAATCACCATGGTGGTACTAAATGGTGGTCACCGGAAGAGAATTAGATTTTTGGGTGCTGTAATCTTTCTTCTTCTTACCTGCTAGATTTGACAGCACGTAAGAGTAAAGTTGTGGAGGATAAGCACTTTGTCCCAAATCAAATCACTTTTATCCCAAATGTGGCCTTTCCCAGGATCTTGTCTTCTCTCTTCTGTATATCGTCTCTTTGGCCCACTTTCTCTATTGCAAGAAAATTAATTCATTCAGCCAATACGCACCGAGCCTCTAGGAGATGGCAGGTGCCACATTACAATGTGGGACCCAGCCCAGGCTGGATGATCGCAGCCCCTGCCTGCACCTAGCTTACAGTCTTGGTTCAAGAGGTCTCCTGATCTCATCGGGTTCAGAACCCTAACATATGGACTGGAATAGCTGGAGAATTCTAATTGGGCCCACCTGTTTCATATTTTGAAGGGAAATCATGGTCAGTGTGCGTAGCAAAAGGATGTGGGAAACTACGCTACTGTGATAATTTGGATATGTTTACAACACTTGGCTTCCCATAAAAGTCCCATAAAAACTCACCATGCTGAACTTTTATACCCTTTAAACAACATGGGAGAAGATGAAAAATGGTTTCCTTAGTTAAAAATAAAACAACTACGAAAAAAATATAATGAGTGAGAAATCCTGGGGTGAGAACGAGAGTTTGGTTATCTGTTCTGTGGGATGATGAAGGATGGGAGAAGCACCTTCGATGTTCTGAGCGGGGGCTGAAGACGATGAGCAAATTTTATTACCAAAAGCAGCTCACACGATTGAGCATGGCTAGGAAGGCAAGATGGCCCTTGATTCTTCCCGTAGGAGGTTCTGGAGCCACAGCTGCTGCCACAGAACCCAGAAGTTGCACATGAAAGCTCTGAGCTATCATCCGAGCATCACTGTGGCAGTGACGAGACGCACAACCTGTTGGAAGGGTCTCTTTTCACCCCCAAGTGAAGGCGGTGTACTATAGGTTAAGGCTGCTCTAACATGGTGGTTATCAACCACATGTGGCTATTTACACTTAGATGAAAAATTAGTTAATTAAAAGTTCAATTCCTAGGTCACACTAGCTACATTTCATGAGCTCCACAGCCAGGGGCTGGGGGGCGCCATAATCAACAGAGTAGAATAAAATACATGACAGCACAGTGCTGCTGAGACAGTGGTTCTCAGTTGCCAGCTTCCACAGTTCGCGTCAGAATTTCCCAATTTCCCGCAGCCTTTTAAAACACACATTCCCATAGCTTCTTGGACTTTGGCTAAGATCAAGTGTAAAATACACATCCCAGGCTCCAGCAGCAGATTTTTTAGTTTTAAGAGGTTTGTGAACTTCTTGTTCAAGGACAGCTCATCTCTGTTCTCCTTTTCCCTAACATTTTTTAATTCTTGGAAACCATAGCATTCTTTCGACTCTCACACTTATGGATTATATCTGTATCTATTGATTTGGATAGCCCTCCATTTTGGCATGTCCCAACTGGAGCTGTGTCATGCTCAAGAGCTATAGTGTATGGGTGTGTGTGTGCAGTAGGGCCCCACAGAAGACTGTGGGTCTATAGTGACTATAAGACTATAGTGACAGATGCGATGCTGATACATTGTCGCTGGCCTAGCACAACAAAGTAACCATAAGGTTGTAAAGGAGAGCAAGAAGGCTTTTAGTTTTATTAAATTTATTTAATTAAAGCCACCCACCCTCCCAAATATGCAGGCTGGTACTTGTGATGGTTCTGCCAAAACACAACCATTTGATATCATTTAACATCTCTGTAAGTTCATTTCAAAATCCTAATATCTGCCGTGCAGATTTAGTGTAGTTAGTGAAACTATCTCTTAATTCATATAAAATACAAAAGAAATTTTCACCCAATAATCTTTACAGTCAGAAAACTTGAGTGAAATTGAATATCCAAAAAGAAAATCAGCAGGTAACATGAATGTTAATGACTAATGTTCAACAATATGCTGGTGCTCAACATTAGCCGGGCAGAGGTTTTATTTGAAGAAAATACCTATCCCAGTGGTGAATGTGTGAACACACCCTTGATTCCATGTCTATCTTTCCGGATTTACTTGGTCCACTAGAGCTATCGATACTGGAGAAGGTCTTAAAAATATTTCTATTGACATTAATTACAATTCTCCATACTTGGATATTTCACGACCAGTTGAAGAGGACTGTCTTATAATACACACTCTCTCACACTTCCCTTCTCTCTCTCTCTCTGGATCCCACTGAACAAATCAAGAAAAGTGTAAATAATATATCACCCATAATCCCACCCCTTAGACACAGATCACTGCTAACATTTGGGTTTTTGGGGATAGCTCTTTTTAGCTTTTTATGTATTTGTTCCTTTTTATAAAACTGGGATCATATTGTTTATTCATTCTGAAAATTCCCTCATATCATTTAATATTCTTTAAAACGCAATTTTTAATGGTTGTATATCATTCTGTCCTATGGAGTTACCTTCTATTGTTAGTCATTTGGGCTGTATCCAATGAAAAATAACACAGAAGTTAGCATTTTTTACATAAATCCCTGCCCACGTGTCTGATTATTTCCTCAGGATAAGTTCCTGGATGTGGAATTACCAGATCAACTGAGTGTGAACATTTGTTGAAGCTCTTGACACATTTTGTCACATTGCTCTAGAGAAAAGCTGTTCCAATTTACATGCCCACCAGCAACATAAAAGGGTGTGGCTTTCACTACATCCTGGCTAATGCTGAATTATTTTCACTGGAAAAAAATGCTGTTATTTTTAATTTGATAGGCAAAAAGTGGTATTCTTTTATGTTATTTCTTTGATTAGCAGTGATAATATTTAGACTTTTTTTAGTTACTGTACTTGCATTTCTCTGAATTACTTCTAGCTTTGCTTATTTTTCTATAAAGATCTAAAGTTTTGAAATTTTTATATTAAGCACGTTAGTCCTTTTTTGAGTTTAAATCTAAGTGTTAATGTAGTTAAGTCAATAGCTTGCTTTCTCTGAAGTGTCGTTGAAGGCATTGTGCTTGGAAAGCCCTTCCTAGTCCAGAGGTAGAAGATCTCACTGGATGTTGGGAGGAAAATGAGGAAATTTATGGAAATTGCTTAGCAGCAGAGGTGGTGGTAATGTAAATGTGTCATAAATGGTAGCTCTTACGGTTAATCCTCCGACAGTTCTTGCTTTGAGGATGAGGGACTGGAGGGTGAAGGAAGGCTACCCTCCTGTTAGAAGACCTAGGATTCAAGTCCAACCTTCTGGTGCTGGATCTTTCTGCCCTTCCGCACTGATAAGTGAGGTGTCCAGGCAAATAATGGTGCGTGCCATGTTGGAGATATGATGTGGGACTTATGAGTTACAGATCTACTTCTTTCCAGAAATGGGTGTGATGTGCTTCAGAAAAGGAGAAAACATACACACCAACGCCCAATCATAGCCACAAATATTTACAAAACGAATACCTTCTCATCAGAGCCACTCTCCTTGATACCACTGCTTAGTCTTCCTTTTGGAACAAATGCCTAACATTTCAACTAACTATAATTCAACTGACTAGTGAAACAGTTTTTCTCTTTAAATTCAACAATTGGAATTATTTTCCTTTCAGTTGCCCGTGTGTGTGTGTGTGTGTGTGTGTGTGTGTGTGTGTTGGGGGGGGGTAGTTTCAAAATTCTTTTGTTCTCTAAGGAATTATACCTGCAGGGCAATTATGTCCTCCAAACCTCCCGGAGCCCAAATGTGCCCCAGTGTGAGGAACAGGGAAGTGTCCAGGAAGAGGAAGAGGCGGACTCAAAACTACACTGTTGGCTAGGCTTCTGGCATGTGGAGCCATGTCCACTCCTAAAATGGCCTTGGGAACTACCCTCTTAAAACAAAAGGAAAACATGGAAAATGGATAACTGCTCGCAAAAAGCAAATGGGCAGCTGAGGAATAGTGGCTCATCACTGTGAGACAGAAAGCCTATTCAAGACCAAGAGGAGAGTAAAAATGTGCTCAGAAATTCACCATTGTCCAGCCACAGGCAGTGAGTTTTTGTCCTCGCCTGTTGCTGAATTCCCTACTGCCAGCCTCTGTGCCCTGGCAGATGAGACTCACAATGGCTTCTGAGGGCACCACGTGAGCCACGATCTCAGAACACAGACCACTGAGCACTTTCAGCCCCCAAACGCCAATGCTCAGCCCTTCCCACTGTGCCACTGCTCAACTGACATTCCCCAAGCTTGATAAGAACAGAGAGGGCTGTTTGGTAAAAGAAAGAAAAAGCAAAATGTTCTGCTTGAGTGGGTACTGGCCCTCTCCAAATGTGGTATGTCCCCAAGTCCTTTGCACACTTTTTTCAGGATGGGGCGGTGCCTGTCCCTTACACACGGATACCATTCCGGGGGCCACCTTGCCTTTCATATGCTAACCTGCACATAAACTTGAAAATGGAAGACTGGGGGTATCTTGTGGATTTCTAAAATTTATTTGACACACTGTGTTTTTTGTGGGGGTAGCTGTGGGGCCACCAGGCCTCTCAGGAACACGCTTTGGGAAATAACATCCTACACCTCAACCCAGCTGGTTATCAGGACGCTGCAAACAGCTGCTTCCTTCTGACTCCTGCACAGATGACGAAACCCACGTAGCCGGAAAGGGCCGGTCCGATGGAAAGGGAGGTGTTCCTTAAATTCCCCAAAGGAGGAAGACGTTTAAAGAAGTTTGGTCTAGAAAAACAGAGGGCCCGACTGGTGTGAATGGCACAGCAGTCTGCAGG